CCGACAGGCCCAGAAGATAGTTGACAAGTTCATCCAGCAGAGAGGATTCCACAACAAGGTTTGGATCCTATCTGGACTCAGTATTTTTTGCATTGTCTGTACACTGACTGGGAATATTTGCTGTAGTTTCAGATTGTTCAGAGCAGCATGATGAAAAGCGTACCAGGGGAGATAATAGAGCCCAGGTATTTTAAGTTTGTCTAACTTGCACTTTTCTCTGTTTTATACTGCAAAGCTTTAGTATTTTTCCACTTCCCATTCATATGAACAGGGAGCTGGACCCAGTGCTGTCTGAAGTTACCCTGATGAACGCACGGGCAGAACTTTATTTGCGTTTTTTACGACGTCGCATAATGGCTGATTTTGAAGTTGGTGACATTCAAAGTATCACACCAGGTAGATTTAGAATAATAAGCCAAGGTATTGTATATATATTTGTATGTGTGACATTCAAATTGGATTCAACTGTAATTTTCCACTGTTTAAAACACCCAGAGCATCAGCAGAACATGGAGAAGCTGCTGAAACACTGTCTTCTCAGCACTAACATGCAGGAGCTGATTGGTTATTATATTCCTATGGAGGAATATTACATGAGGGAATCTGTCAACAAGGTAAATTACACTTACTTTTACAGCACTATTACACATATTTGGTACACCTCAACAATCAATGAATTGCTAAAAGGGACTATTTATTCAGAAATATTTAGATATTTGTCACAAAAACATTAATGAAACAATTTGTCCTAATTTAGGTTATTTCTCCTATCCATCCAAAATATCAAATCCATCCAAAGTGAAACACGTAATCTTTGCAAAGCATATTTTCTGTGTTTTAAATGAATAGATTCAGCATGTTTTTGCTCTGCAGGCTGTCGCTATGGACACGTACGAAAAGGGACAGCTGACGTCCAGCATGGTGGACGACTGCTTCTACATTGTTAAGAAGTGCATCAGCAGAGCTCTGTCCAGCTCCAGCATTGACTGCCTGTGTGCCATGATCAACCACGCTAACTCTGTGCTGGAGTCAGACTTCAGGTGAATTCACTGAAGCAAAATCCAGATTACAAAGAAATGGTGATGGGGTTTCTGGATGGAATGAAGAAGATGACCGCTTAAAGAGCCCTCCCTCTCGCTCTTCCTCTCTCTCTCTCTCTCTCTCTCTCTCCTCTTACCACTCAGGGAGGTTTTGTACAATAAGCTGAGACAGGGTTTCCCTGCTACGACCCTTCAGGACATCCAGCGTAACGTGAGCAGTGCTGTGATTCTGATGCAGAGTAGCTTACAGCAGGGCAAGTTCAACACGCTGGGCATCGAAAGCACCGAGAATGCCA